TCCTCCCCCGCCCCGAGCCGCCTCAGGGGGCGGCAGGCCCGTCCCGTCGAGGCGGTGTTTGTTGTGAAAGGGCCCCCCCTTTCCCCTCCCCTTCCCCCCGGGGTCGGTGATGGCGGGGCCAACTGCCGGTGGGGTGGGGAGGGAGGTGTATCATGGCGGGGAGGAGGAGGAGGACGACGGGGCCTGGGGTTTCGCCTCCCCGCCGCCAGCTCGGGGTCGTGATTTTTTTGCCAGGTCGTGGAGCTCGTCGGTCAAAGGGCTGCGGAGCTGTTAAAGAGTGACTAATTGCTAGGAAGAGGGGAGGGGTGGGGGGGGCATGTGATCCAGCGGGCTCAGAGGCTTTAAAATAAAAAGGACGCTTCCTGTACGGAAGGAGGGGGATGAGCTGGATCCAGGGGTGGGTTGTGGTGCCCTGCATCCTGAAGTGGGGGTCAGAAGGAGGGAAGAGTGTGGTGGAAGGGCTGTGTGGAAGTGTTAAAGCTGCCCTGTGAAAGTTGCCTAGGTGTTTGGTAAAAACTTAGCATCTGCTTGCAAACTAGGGGTCTCTCTAAATACTCGGGCTTTCTGTGTATATTGTGGCTTTATAAAGGCTTTCCGTCACTGCCCTAGGAAAAACAAACCAGGTACAGGTTATTGGGGAGCTGCAGCTCGAGAAAAACATGGGAAATACGCAATATAATGGTGAAAAAGAGAAACCAGGAGCATTAGCAGCGCAGTGGGCCCAGCGACTGGGATAGAATGTTGTGAAGTTGCTGCTGAATTGTGGGGTTGGGCTCGTTGTTACCACTTGCATCTTTTTAAACCATCTCTAACAGCTTTGCTGTTGTGCAGGGCATGAACCAAAATATGACCCTCTTGGTGGGTTCGTGTCTTTTCACTGTGATGGATGTGGGACAGTGTTTTCTGTTTCAGATGTTGTTAACAGAGATTACTTGGTAAAGTTTCAGCTACTGTTTTTTTCTTGGTGGTATAACATCAAATCCAGAAAACTCCGGTTTGAAACTTGAAATCCAAGCGAAGGTCTTGATATCAACAGTTGGGAAAAAAACTTGCATGGAATTGCTGAACTAATAAACAGTAAAAAGGCAACTTTGCCACCTTTTTCCTTTCACCTTTCCCTCCTCCTGCAGCTCTATATTGAATTATGTTGGCGAATCTGCATCTGCAGAGGGAGTAAGGGAATAGCAAATAATACCATGTGCTTTGTAAGCTGATACAATGCGAAAGAAGGTCTCTCTCGAGGAGCTCAGGAGTTTGCTTTGGGGAAGTGCTTTGCAGCAGAAGATGCTTTCCCACTTTATTCAGGTGTTGATAATGTGAATAAAACTATTAACGCTGCAGCATAATACTGTGGGGGTTTTTCTGGGATGTTCTGTGGGAGAGCAGAAAGCTTAGCAGAGCTGAACCCAGAAGTTACTTGTGAAGATACTATGTATAACCATAGTATTCCTGGTTTGTGTTGGTGAAGCTCTTTCTTTTCAGGAGTATTTCATTTCTTTTTGAACTAACGATATCTCAAATACAGTCTTATAACTGATGGCTTTTTAAAAAGTTTTTTAACTGCAGGTGAAGAAAATAGCTTTGATTTCACAGCTTCAGTGGCTTGTTTGGTTCAGGAAACATAAGTTTTCAATATTTTTTGTTGGTGTATTGGCTGATAAGCCTTGTAGATGGACGGGGGTGTGCAAAAAGGAAATCTGTGAAGTTGGTGTAATGTGTTCGGGAGTGTGTGACAATTAGTGCAGGCTGGAGTGTGGTTGCTCTTGGAGTGGGCTTGAAGCCTGGGAGAGTTTAACCTTTCAGCAGAGGGAGCGGGGTTGGGTGCTGACAGGTGCTGCTCATTTTTTCTCGTGTGTTCTTGCCAGGGTGCTGCTTTCCTGACCCGTGCTGTCGTTTGTTGTGCCTGGTTTAGTGCAGTTTACACTTCTGCTGCTGTGTTTCTGTCCCATCCTCCAGCTCCCACCGTCTTCTTAGCATGGCCTTTGGGTTATCAGCCTGAATGTCCTAACCCTCCCCTCAGTTGATACACAAACCTGCAATCAAGGCACATTTTCCTCTTCTGGAAACACCTTTTCTTTGTCACATCGTGGGCCCCTGCGGAATCCACGCTGCCCCAGGTGATATTAGGCACTGGCCTAGTAGGTTTGTGGCCTAGAATTAAGGACAGAACCTTCTTTCACCAGTCTGTCCTGCAAATAATTTGTCTGGATGATACTCTCAAGTCACCTTTGTTAAAGGTTTGGCACTTTTCTCTCCCCTTCACTCTATTTCTGCATCACAACTAATGCTCTTCTGCAGGAAATGGTGCAGGAGCTCACAGCGGGGGGAGAGAAGGGCACTTGCTTCATTGGCTGACTTCTTTTTAGCACTGTCCCTGTATGGGTTAATTAAGAAAGACATAAATAACTTTCCCTAGAACTTTTTTCACATTGCTCTTTGGCAATAATTATGTAGTCTCCAGTCCTGAAGTTACTTCCCTGTTGTGTGCCTTTTGCATATTGTATGGTAAATAACCTGAGCTGTAATATATTTTGAAAGAATGTTTGCAATAACATCGTTAGTAATTCTATTTAACATATTTAAAGTGAATTTTCAGTGCTGCTGGAATAGAGGAATTATTATAAAAGAGCACGTTCAGCCAATTTGGGGGGAAAAAAAATGAGTGGTTGATTGTGGAGCAATAGAGATACTTGTAAGTAGCCTTTAAAAGTGTCCACTGCTCCAGTTTGCCTGGCATTGCTCAACGTGCTTTCGAAGTTCTGGCAGAGTTAGGGAAGCACTAAGAAACTGGCAGCTGCTTTTATTAACAATATTGCAAAAATGCTCCAGGTAGAACACATGCATCCTAAGTTTGTGAGACTGTTCCTTGATCATCAAGAAATACAGGTTAAACACTATGGTGAGTTGTCTTTTCCCCTGTTATTTATTAAACACTTTCTTAGAGTTCTGCCTCTTTTTAATTACGTGTTGAATTCTGTTTGGGGGCTGTTCTAACTTCTTAGCTTTCTGCTACATAAAACCTGCCTTTGCCCTCTCTGAGAGTCCCGGCTGCATGTGCTTTAAAGGCAGCACGCGTTGTCCCTCTTTAGTATATATTTATTTATTTCTCATTACAAGTTGTGAGGCTTTAGAGCAAGAGGTTGAGTTTTGGCTTTTTGGCCTACAACCAAAAGCGAACTTCTCCAAAAGATGTTTTTGGCGCTGGCGCCGTTTCTTCCTCGGGAGGAAAACGCGGGCGGCAGCGCCGTTGGGGAGGGCATTTTGCTGCCATTGCATCTGGGATGAAAATCCACCCTCCATTAAATGGCACGATTAACTCCCCTGCTCCCTTCCCCCCCCTCTGCCAGATGTTATGCAAGGCAGAAACCCGGCTGCTGCGGACCCGAGCACATCCAGCACCGCGGGTTGGAGGGAGGGGGCTGTTGGAGTGATTTTTGTGGTAAAGTGCAGTTCCAGGTGTCTGCAGCTCTCTGGTGTTACGCGATAGTACGGCCGGCAGCGTGCCTGAACTTGTCTGGGCTCAGTAAGTCTGTGTCTACCTGTGTAAGAAACTCCTTTTGAAAACCCTGTGTGCTGGTGTTTTAAACAGAGCGATTCTTTAGGTCAAAGAGTTGATGCTGAATGAATCTGCACCGAAATTCCTCCCCGCAGTCTGCCCGACATGGGGATGGTTGCAGGTCTCTGGGAAGATGGTACTGGGGGGACTGGGATTCCTAAAAACGCTGACAAAACAAAACTTCCTAAGTGCCATCCTGGCCCTGACCTCTCTTCAGCAATATGGGTCAGTGTAAGAGCAGTGGGAACCTTGCACAGAACATGCATTTTATTTTTTATTAACACTCAGTTAAGGCCTATTTCATAAAAAGTC